CTTATTTCAAGTTTGGTATCTGACTTATTGATTAGTGTTGTTAAAGTTATATACTCTTATACTTCATCTTTTCCATCTGATAAATGAAATACTAAGCCATCTACCTCATGGCATTACTGTGAGGCATCCCTGATAAGTAAGAAAGTTGAAAATTTGGAGAACATTTAAAACATTCTCAAAAATGCAAAGCATATTATTAACAGTTATTGATACAGATGATGCAGAAAATATACTAAGATTATAAATTTTGATTTGTTTGTTTTGGAAAGTGTTTGGATTTTTATTGCCTTGTGCATTTTGCAAATATAAAAGTAGCTAACAAAAAACAAAAATGCTTGGTCTTGTCTTCTATGTGGTGAAACTATGGTAGTCTGACTGTTCTTTTCAGATTCACTGTTTTAAAGGCTTATAGAAAACAATGTGACACAGAATAGTCACAAAACAGAATCATGATGAATTTGGAGTGCCATGGAATTTGGGGGCTAACTAAAAAGTTAGTTACAATGCTAGAGCAAGGCTGAACCAAAATTTTTCATGATCATCAACCATGACTGACATCATGATTCACCAACAATAAAAGCAACAAAATATATATGCCCTTTCAACTGAATAAATCTATTTCTTTGTTAATTACTTGATAGCGAGGATATGTAGGAGTTTTCCTCCATGCAGTTATAGAAATGGAAGGAAACTTTTAACAAAAGACTGAAATTAATGATAGCATCATTGCTAATGTAGCTGAGAGAAACCTGAGATTATATTAACCTGCTTCTAAAAATAGTTTCTGTTAATTCATTAGGAGTTTCATACAATATGTTTTGATCATATTCATTCTCCAGCACTCCCCCTAATACTCCCCAGATGTCCCACCTCCCAAAACCACAACTTCATGCCTTCTTTTTCTTATCATCTATCCAACCAATTTGTGCCGGCCATATATTCCTGGATGCAGAGCCATCTACTGGAGCTTGGGTGATCTACCTCAACATATTTTTTTAAGTGATATGATGTCAATGTCAAATAAATTTCTACAAGGTTATATAGTGGGCCATGGTCAGTGCAAGAATAGAATTCAATCCTTTCTTGTCTCTACTTTTATAAACTGAGCCATAGAAATTTGACGAGGAACATTGTAGCCTTAAATGACCATTGCAAAAATAAATGTAAGGTAAGTTAAATTTATATGCTGCCCTACAAAGTATGTGAGCATGATTATAGGTGTGTGTTATGTATGTATGCATATATATGTATATGTATCTGTCATGTGAGTTTTGTCTTGTTTGTTAAAACATTCCTTCATTTGATCTCTTTCAAGTGCTTGTTCTTTCTTTGTGGCTTTAGTTCTGTCAAAATTCTTCCAACTCCCAATTGAGAGCATCCACACACTTATGTATTCCGCGAATGAGTTTTGTTACATACTAGTATAAAAATGTGCTTGAGATTCATGCCTCAAACCACACCACACATTACTGTGACTCATTATTGCTCTTTTTTATCAATTCCGACATTTGTAAGACAGTGGTCACCAAATTCAAACTAGAACTCAACTTCTTCCCTGTGGTTAATCAATAGCCAAGTAGATGACCCATATCTACCTTCAATTCTTTGACTTTATCAATATCAATGACCTTAACTTCTAATTCACTCTAGGAATATAATTTTCTAATTTATTAAATCTCTCAGAATTCCTGCAATATTACATATATTTACCTTCTGAGGTCCATACTTCCTTCTATACAGTCTATTAGACTTCACTGTCAGTAGTATAAATTGCTTCTCCATCATTGTCACTGTCAATTAATTGGTCTTTAGCTACCATGCAGCCTAAACTGATTCAGCAAATGTCTAACCTGAGAGCAGAAATCCCAGAGCTCAGTGGCTCTCCTCTTACAGATAGTGGTTGGCAGAAGAGAAAATTCCTTCAGATAAGCTTGCAGACATGCACAAAGTCTGCTACGTACCTGCTTGAAAATGGTCTTCTGAGACCCTGCATAGTCAAAAAAGAAAAAGAAAAGGGGAAAAAAAAGATAGAAGGAAAAAGGAAGAAGGGAAGAAAATGCCACCCCACAAAAAGAAATTAGGCTGTCTCACTGCAGTTGTGTCGTTGATGATGCTGGAAACTCATTCACCTCACTCTTGTAAACTCTCCCTCTACTTCTCTCAGTGATGTTCCAACAAGTCAGTATTTTGCCAACTACCAGTGTTCAATCCAGGCTCTCCCCATTTTCCTTGGTTTTAATAATATTGACAAAATAAAGAAGAGAAGCGATTATCTTATCTGATAGTTCTACAAACTAACTCACACTAACAAATATTGGCCTTGATGTTTTTTGTGATCAAAGTGCTTTCAAGCAAAATCCAAAATCTCCATTTTATTGCTACTTCCCTCTGTTCTGCCCTAGAACTTGGTCCTGCCCTCTCCCTCCCTCCTTCCCTCCCTCCTCTCTCTCTCTCTCTCTCTCTCTCTCTCTCTCTCTCCAGCTTCCAGAGTTATGGGGCCCCTGTAGACAGATTCTAATTAAATGACTCTGACCATGAGTAGATTTTGAGCAGAGAACTGTAACATAAAGAAAGGAAGAAGCAATTCTACACACAGGGCAAAGCAGTCAGTAGGGGAAAAGGATTCCTTTTAGAGAAATGGAAACCCAGCTTCTTCAAAGGAAGTAGATTTTGATGTAGCTGAAAAGCGTAGCACTCAGAAAAAAGTTACCAGTTGATGAGACCCTTATACTTTAGTGGGTTCAAAATGTATCTCAATTTTTCTTCCTTAGGTAGAATCACTCTTTAGAATAGACATAAGTAAATGACAGGCCAGATACAAGGAACACATATACTAGTGCACTGAGAAAATCCTGTCAAGAGCCAGCAAATGCTTCCTTAAAACCTTTTGTTTCAGGCTGCTTTTGAAAAAGATGAATGGCTAAGCTTGAGACCAGACTTGTCTGGACTCAGGAGGAAAAGCACTGCCTCTAGAAAACCAAACACAAAACTTCTCAAAGAATTCAAGGGCGTTGCTTAGGTCTGGGGCTTGATATTGTTTCTCCTTTAGTTTTAATTAGCCAGAACCAGGAAATTCATGTTTCCTGACAAAGACTTTATCAAGTGATTCCTTACCTTACCTCAAACCATACTGTTGGTTAACATTTACCCATCCGAACTTGCTAGACAAGTTCCTTTTAAACCCTTACGTATTCTTAACTTTAGTCAGCTTACAAAACTGAAAGAATACCCAGGATACCACTCATTTGACAAGGAATCACACACAGAGCAGCCTTCTCCACTGTGCAAGATGTATCAGTAAGTTCAATTTTATTTTGAATTTGAAGGACTTGTTTCATATTTTTGATTCCAAATGAAGATTGGAAACTATTATAAGTTGGCAGACCAATCACTGTGTCTCTATTTTTATTGGAGGGAATGACATAATAATATCAGTATTCTGTATTTCAGGAAGCCATGATTTTATATTTAGAATTGAGATTTTCAATGTTTGACTGAATTTAAATTTAATGTTGGGTAAGAATTAGAATTGAGAATGAGATGATCATAACACTGAAGGGAGGATGAGAACTTGGGATGCACTTGTGCTTCTGGTGTGGAATGAGATGAGGAAGTGTTTCTCGCCTCCACCCAAGAATTTAAATACGTAATGTACCAATGTTCTTTCTAAATTATGCATTAAATTGATTCAAGAAAAAGGAAATGTCCAAGTTGTTTAGAAACCATAATATCCTAACTCCAGTTCTGAAGTGGCAAATATAATTGAAATTCAAAAATATGAATAAGAATTTTAATGTCTTTTGATTAATACATTGCCTTTTGAAATTAAACATAAAACAATATAAGAACAACTTATGTATAAGAGAGGTAAAAAACAAACACATGGTCACTGTTTTTCTATTATAATAGATATGGGAGACCATGGTAAGTACATCATAAACCTTTTACTTTTTACTCTTCTGTCTGATCTGTTCTGTTTTTTGATATATTTTGCCATTATTAAACCTCAGTTCTTCATCTACAATATGAGGGAAATGAGCACAATTTACTAAGGATGAGAGGATTACAAATGTCTTTTCTAATGATGTTTGACTAGCATTGTCGTTTGCAGCATTACTAAGCCACATTACAGTTGTATCTGAATAAATAATCAGCCCAACTCTTAACATTAGGGTTTAATAGGCAGTTCCAAGGGTTTATTCCTTCAGGTGTCTCATGTAACTGTACTCCTGAGCTAGGCCTTTTCCATACTTTGATTCAAAACCATTTCCCCAGCATCATTTCAGGAACAACAAGCTTGGATCCGCCATTGTCCTTTGATCCCTAAGCCAAAACACCTCATACATTCAATGTCAATTATCCTCAGTGTTTTCAAAGAGGATACAAACATGAATATGTTGATTCCAGGGTGTTTATATGCTAATTTAAGCACACTCACATTCATTTACTATCTTAGGTGGAGGGCAAAGTGGGGTCCCCAGGGATCAAGGTCAGGTGCCCAGTTCACAAGAGCACATGGCTCAGTGAACTTCTCCACATTATAAAGTAGCTTTTGGTGCAAGGTTGAGTAAAGGTCATTAGTCCAGAAGTCATTCCTACAGTCCTGTTTTGTCACTAAAACTGGGCATTTGTGTACAAAATTCAGCCAAGCATAAATAGATTTCTAGAACACAATCCTCCTAACAGATTTAATTCTTTACAGTTATTCAAACTGGTCTTCTTTCCACATGATCACTTTATAGCCACAAATTAAGGTTATTTTCTCTCTTTTTGAATAATTTTTATTGAATTTTTGTGTATTTTGTACAAAGCGTCTTAGTCATCTTTATATCCTCCCCCAATCTGCAACCTCCCATTTCTGCCCCCCACCAGATATCATGCATTCTGTCATCTATGTTAAGGCCTATCAAGTCAAGTTCTTGTACCCAGATGTCCCTCAGTGCAACTTCATCCACTGAAGTCTAGTCACTTCACTTCTAACCTACCTAGAGTCACTTACTTAAAGATCAACTCTCCCTCACCCAGCAGTAATCAACTGCCAGTAGTTTTTTGACTAAGGCTGGGGCCCACTGCCCATTTCCCCAGTTCTATGATGGGTTTTTGTCTGCTTAAGTTTGCGTGGGATTAGTGGATAATGAAACTGTGGTACATTTACACAATGGAGCTCTACTCAGTAGTAAAGAAAAACAAAATCATGAAATTTGAAAGTAAGCAGATGGAACTAGGAACTGTTATAATAAGTGAAGGAACACAGACTCAGAAAAACAAATGATGTATGTTCTCCCTTATTTGTGGATCTTAATACTAAATCCTTAGATGTGAATATATATCTTGATGTAACTACAGAAGCCAGGAAAATGGAAAGGAACCAGAATGGTAATGGGAAAAAAGGAGTCTAAGAGAGAGGACTAGTAGGAGACAGGTATTACCAAGGGAAAAATGGATAAAATGGGAGTATTTTACTGGGAGAAGAAGAGGGGGAGTTATATAAGGCTGATTTCTTTTTTGTAATTTTTATTGAATTTTTACATATTTCATACAGAAGAATTATCTTCATACCTCTTCCCCTTTGGCACCCTCCCAGCCTCTAGTCAACCTATCTTGAGTCCCTCTCTTTAAGATCAACTCTTCCTCACCCAGCAGTAATCAGCTGCCAATAATTCTTCAAGTAAGATTGGGGCCTACTTACAGTTCTGTGTTGGGTTTTGTCTGCTTAAGTTTGCATGGGTCTTGTGCATGCTGACATAAGGTTATTTTCTTAAAAGACAAAATAAACAAGTAAAAATAAAATTTTCACGTTAACTAATTGCACTTATAGAACTAGTTCACATTAAGGTTTCCTTTTTAAATGGATCACAGTAGAAACAGGATTATTATCATCAACATAACTTTACTTTTATTTAAATAATTTCTAACTCATATAAAAATTGTCATTGTCATACCAATAAAAATAATTCAAAGCTGGGGAGATGTGTTAGGAATTAAGAGCACTTGCTGTCCAAGCTTGAAAACCAGAGCTTCGATCCCAGAGCCCACATAAAAGCTGGGTGTGGTTCACATATGCTGTAACCCCGGCATGGAGGCAGGCAGAGACAGGAGGATTACTGGGGCTTTCTGGATGCCAGCCTAGCCAAAAACCTCTAAGTCCAGTGAGAGATCCTACCTCAAAGGAGAAAAGTGGAGAGTGATGGAGCCAGGTACCCAACATTCTCCTTAGCCATCTGCATATGTGCACTTGCACATACATGTATATATACTACACACACATACATAATACAAATAAATACATATATATATATATATATTAAGGCTTATAGAGAGTGTGAACTCTGTATTGCAGCTGGTTAAAAACAAAGGAAATCAACCAGAAAAATAAAAAGACATACAACAGTGACAAAAAAGAAAGAAACTAAGAAAATAGAGTGAAATAAAAGTCTGGAGAAAGCATCACGTATTCAGCACACCAGAAAACTTAAGTTTTCACATTCCTGTTAGCCTCCACTTCAAGATTTTAAAATTTTCCCCTCTAGCCACCAAATTCCACAATCACATTCTCTAGTCTGATAACTAAGATGTTGACTTAATATACTTTTGCAGTATTTGGTTTGGCTTTCCTTGGCTTTGTGGATGAGAGGGAGGTAAGAGGTGAGGATTACAGGAAAGTGTAGGAGGTGTTGACGCTTCTCTTTCCATTGATGACTGTGGGTTTCCTTTGGAAAACACAAATCAATCTTTCTAATATAGTTTTCTATTTTTTAGAACTTCATATGAGTACTGCATTTACATTTCTACTGTTCACTCTTGCCTTTCAGTTCCTCCCTTATCCCCTCCTTTCAAAGAGGATCATAATTTTATTTACA